CGCCTGGACGCCGCCGCCTTCCGGAGGCGCTTGCTGGGCAAGTGCGCCGGAGCGGGGGCTGCGGGTCCCGGATCCTCTCGGAGGAAACCCCCGCGCCCTCCCAGAGGGAACGGGACCCGGCACGCATGCTTCATTTAATGCTCAAGGTTTTGGGTCTTTCAGGCTGCTGTGTGAAATGGTGGTCTTTAGGGTGAACAGCTCGGGTTTCTGGTCCGCTTTCTAATGTGTGAGCAAAGTTCCTGTGACACCACCATTTCCGTATCCATGAACCGGATGACAGGAGCTCGGGATTGCTGAAGGTTCACTTGGATAACGCGCAAAGTGAATAGCACGATGTCTGCCGCCTGCTTCGCGCTTTAAGGCAATTAATTGTTCGCTGTCATTTAGGGAGTCTTAGTTCTGCTGGGCAAATCTGCCTCAAACTGTAACGCAGGTGTGAAGGAGCGCTCCGGAGCGTCTGAGCATCCGTGGTGCTCAGCTGAGGCCAGGATTTTACAGGCAAGAAGTAGGGTTTTCTTCTACTTCCGGAGCGGTTCAGTTTTCGCTAGGAAAACTGCGCTACCTTTGAACACTGGGTCCAGTAAGGGAGAAAGGAAGCTTGGCTGAAGGACCTTTTACTTTGGAAGAAGTGCTTGATTTGGTGTTTCTCAAAACCTGTTTTTCAAAGTGCCCCAAGGAGCTAATAATCAGACTGAAGGTACAGGAAGAAAATTCAGCTGTGGAATACCTATATGGAGATAACTTTTCACACAAGGGAACTTCAAATCTTTATCCTATTGAGCATTTTTGCAAGTAAGCATTTATAAGTGTAACAGAGCTAGTTATCACCAAACCACCTCTTACCTCCTCATGTCATTTTGCCTCCTACTTGTGAATAAGTAGAAGCTCCCTTAGACCGCAGTAATATCACCAGTAGGAAAATCAAATCAGTTCAACTTCCCATGTGTGTTCAAATATGTGTGGGTAGAGACCTGTATTTATTGTACACCTGAATTTACCAGCGACCAACAAGTGATTAAAGTATTACACTAGAAAGCATGTTGGAATTGCAGGTACACATCCAAGGTTCCTGTGTCAGGTTACACCATTAAGCCAATGGCCACTGAAAATATTTGCCTCTCACGTTGCTTCTGTGAATAATTCCAGCCCTAATGACTCAATAAATCTGACCAAACATAATTTACAGTTATTTACTAGTTTATGTAATAATTTACATGCCTTTATTAATCCCACCTACTGGGGAGAATGAGGCAGGATTGCAAATTTGAGGTCAGTGTTGACAACTTAAGACTGTCACAAAAAGGTTGAGGATGTAGCTCCGTGGTCTAGCATGTACAGTGCCCTGGGTTCTAATTCCTAGAACCACATTTAATAAAAGATAACATGGATTAAACTAATTTGTCAGCTCAGAAATACCATTTTAAAATATTTTAATAAAATAATTTGTTACACTTAGGTGCTAGACACTAAGAACGTTACAAGTATTAATTCATTTAATTCTTAACCCGATAAGCCAGTATTATTTCCATTTTAATGATATTGGTACTGAGGCACAGAGAGAATAGGTAACTTCCTCTCAATCTAAAGCTATTCTTACTGCAGTATACTGCTCTTAAAGGCCACTGCTAGTTCTCTTGTAATGGAGTCAAACTCACTCTTGGTGCCTTTAAAGATAAACTAAAATAATCTAAAAAGAAGGCCAATAGTACATAAGATCCTAATAATAGTACATAAAATCCTAGTGATATAATTGACAATGTGAAATAGGAAGAAAAGGGCTAAAGGTGTAGGGAAAGTGGGAAGAGTGGGGGAAAGGTAATAAGGGGAAAAATACATGAGAAAATGAAAAAAATGGAAATAAAATGTTTGTAAATGGGGAGGGGAGGAGGGGGTGAAGGGAGGGCAGGGGCAAGGTGAAAAAATGAGAACCAAGACAGATCTGTCATGTGAATGTACAAGATACCAATGATGAATGTAACTGTAACTTTAAGAGGAAAAAAAAAAGAAGGCCCAATAGAAAGTCTCTCTGCTTAGATAAATTGAATTGATAACGTATTGACAGTAACTGTTAAGCATCTTTACATATAAAGTCCAACTTTTTTTAGTGTGGCTGTTTTGTTACAATCCATGGATAGGTAATAATGTTAGCACCACATATAGCATTTCACATCAGTGGTGAATAGCCTTCGTTCTAGTTTAGTCTAGACTAGTTGTCTAACCTTAGGCGAGTCAGTCACAAAAAATGTATAATTTGATCCCTACTTCATAATATCAAACTCACTTGGAGAACTGTAAATGCATAGATCTTTAAGTAGAATTTTTAAATATAGGTAATGGGAGAGATGTCAGTAGTTTTGATGTATTTTAATAAATCACAGTTTTTCAGTTCACATAATGGCGCATGAGCAGTAATTAGGAAACATCTTTTGTTTGTTTTGGTTTTTGGTTTTTGGTTTTTGGTTCCAGGGATCAAACTCAGGACCTTGTGCTTGCAAGGCAGGTAGTGGCACAACTGAGCTAAATCCCCAGCCTCAGGAAAGATCTTTGTAAAGAGATAGTATATGAGCTGGATTTTAGGGGATGGGTATAAACTGTGAGGATCATTGAAGTTTACTAGAAAAAAAAAAGAAATAAAAATTAGTCTAAGACTTCGAGCATTAGTGCCATTAAGTTAAGAAGCTTGTAGATACAGTTGGGATACAATATTCAGTTTTGAATATACTTTGAGAGGAAGTGTGACATGACATCCTTCAGGAGACCTGACAGCAGCTAGAGAGCTGAAAGTTTAGAGTTAAGTAAGGTCAGGACTGGGCAGCCATCCTTGTATGATTGTTGATAACAATGGGAGTAGATGGCTTGTAGTAGTGTAGCAGCGTTGGTTAATGTCAAGATCATCAAGCATGCATTTCTCTTTGTGTGATTATTCCTCAGCTTTTAAAGATTTAATCAAAGAGAGCAAGGCAGGAAGGATCTGACCCCCTAGCTATATTAGATGCTAAGTCAAATCAAGAAGTCTCTAAAGGCCCCAAGGACTTGTCACAGTGGTAAGCCACCTGGTGTTTAGAGGCAGACAACATGGTCCTTAACAGGAAGGAGCGTGCCACAGAGCTGAGGAAGAGATGCAACCATTCCTTCAGTAACCGTTGAATAGCTATAAGCCTCCCAAGACACTCATTTTTACAGAGTTATTATAAAAAGTGAAATGACAAATGGACAAAATGATCTGAAAAGGTATTCTAAAATCAAAAATTGTGAAGTTTTCATTTCTTCACCATAAATTGTCTTTCATTATTATAAGTAATGTTGCAAAGCACTTGAAACTTAGTAAAGTTCTAATAAATTAACATCTACCCCATTTAATCTTAAGTAATAAAAAAATTTTTAAAAATTCAGAAAAATATTTGTGTTCATTATGGTGTTTATAATAAAGAAAATTAGATATAAATGAGAATATAAGATTGGTTAACTTATGGGACATCTATATAAGAAAAACTGCAGTTATTATAAATTTCATATTCATTAAAAGAATGCTTAAGGTATGTTATAAAACATGATATAAACAACAGACATGATGTTAATTCCAACATACTTAGTACCAAAATTTTGTTTGTCTCTTCAAGCTAGTAAAATATGGTTGATTTCATTATATATTTTTCTTTACTTTTCAAATTTCTCTAGAACTAGCATTTATTATTTTAAAATGAAGTTAGTTTTGTACCATCATGCAATTTTTAAACTAAGTAAGACAAAACTTTTTTTTTTTTTTAAACCAGGGATTGAACTCAGGACCTTGTACTTGCAAGGCAGGTGGAGGAACCACTGAGCTAAATTCCCAGCCCAACAGAATTCTTAAAAGTAGAACAAATAGAAGTCCTTAGTAGTCACTAGTAAAAGTTAAAGCTAAGGGTGTTATATAACATTGGCTGGGGATGTAGTGCAGTGTTAAGATTGCTTGTGTAGCATCTAAGAGGACTTGGGCTTTAATAGCTCTAAACAGCTATTATGACCTATTGTGTGCCATGTTTTCCCTTTAGGTGGTATGGAAATAAAAATCAGCCAGTTTACTGATGCTCTTAAGGAATGCAGTGGAAAGTCATATCAGCAATGTGGTAATTATTAAAAGACATAATAGTACCCACATTTGTTACTTTAACAGGACATTTTTGGCTCTCTTCCCACAGAGCTAACTAATGAAATGAGTACATGCTTAAAGATGGAGGAGGTAACACACATTAGAAAATCTTTACAGATTTTTCTCTTCTGTATTTTAGCTGCAATACAGCAATGGCGATCAGAAGGTAGAGTAGCTGTATGGCTCCACGTTCCCATCCTCCAAAGTCGATTTATTGCTCCTGCTGCTTCTCTTGGTTTCTGCTTTCACCATGCAGAATCGGATTCATCAACTCTGACTCTGTGGCTGGGAGAAGGACCCAGTAGATTACCAGGATATGCTACGCATCAAGTAGGAGTTGCAGGTTAGTTTCAAACTCATGGAAAAAGTAATTAATTTTTATATTATATACCTTCACCCAATTTTGTGCTTCTTACAGCTGAAGAGAGGGGGGGAAGGGAGGGAGAGGGAGAGGGGGAGAGGGAGAGAGAGTTTATTCATGATTTGATTCATTAATGTTCTTGGGACCATTTCATACAACTTTTAAATAGGTGAAGTTTGCCTTACTCGTCAGCAGGGGGCGGCATAGAGAACGATTACAGTTTAGTTTTCCAAAGGATCTATTTGAACATGTTCCGTACAGATATTTGAATTTAATTACTGAAATAGTGGCACTGAATTAGGATCAAGAAATAAGTTCATTTTATTAAAGTATATGACAACCTAAGTAAACAAAACAAGAGTTTCCAAAGATGAATGATGCTTATTTAGGAATAGCAGAGTATTGTAATGAGAATTCACATGCCATGGTAAACTATGACTGTATTCAGAGATTGAGGGCAAGGTGAGTTTTTAAAGACAAAAATGAGAGAGGATTACAGCAGATATTTTGAAACAATAATCCTTGTATGCCAATGATTAATAGTAAAAGGGGCATCAGTCCAAAGTTGAACAGTTACTGTGCAAATGTCCTTGTAGAGATTCTTTTTGTATATTGTGATGGCCTCTTTGTTAGCTTGTGGTCCTGACAGTTTTTTGAGATGTTACGATCAAGCATTCATAAGAACCTTTCCTTAATAACCTCTCAGTTTTATTTACTTTTTTTTAAAAAGAATGCCTCCATTCAAAATGCCTCCACTTTGAATCACACAACTTTCACACATATTTGTATTAAATATGTGAATTTCCACAGCAAAAGATAATTTTTAGGTTGAATATAATTCAAACTACGTTTTGAATGTTACTTATTAAAGACACATTAAGTTATGTGCCAACAATTATTTTAAATGACATAATTTAACTACTGTATATCATTTTTAAGGCACTCATTAGATTCAGAGATAGAAGAAAAGTGAGAACACTTCTTTCAGATTAAGACAGGGGTTCTCAAATTGTAGAGTGCATCAGAATCACCTGGAGGGCTTGTCATAACAGATGGCTACACCCAGTTTCCAGAGTTTTTTTATTTTAAAAAATTTTTTCCTGTTAAGTTTATTTGCACATTTAAAGCAAACAATAGTTACATTTATCATTAGAATCTGTACCTTTACATGATATATATTGGTTTATTTTTTCCCTATACCCCTCCCTCCCTTCACCCCCTTCACCTTTCCCTATTTATAAAAACTTTGTTTCCATTTTTTCCTTGTTTCACATTTTTTCTTTTCCCTTATTTCCTTTCCCCTCCCTTTTCCACCTCCCCTTTAGCCATTTTCTTCCTATTTCATACTATCAATTATATCATTTGAACATTATTTACATTTTTAGTTTATAACACCAGAGAAAGTATTTGGTATTTACTCAGGTGTGTTGTATTTATTTCACTTGAGTATAGCCTCAATGTGCATCCATTTAGCTATAAATGTCTCTAGTTTCTCATCTTTTATGGCTGAGTAGTATTTCATTTTATAGAAAAACCACATCTTCTTTATCCAGTCTCCAGCGGATGGGCGGGTTGTTTCCAAGTTTTAACTATTACAAACTATGCCACTGTAAGCATGGGTGTGCATATATCACTGTTATGATTCTTTTAATTCCTTTGGAAAGATAACCCAGCAGAGCAATAGCTGGGTCAAATGGGACTTCTAATCCTAGTTGTTTCAGGTATTTCCATATTGATTTACACAGTAGTTGAATGAGTCTGCACTCCCACCAACAGTGGAGCAGTGTTTCTTTTTCCCCACACCCCTGCCAGCGTTTGTTATTGTCTGATTTCTTGATAGCAGCCATTCTTACTGGGGTGAGATGAAATCTCAGTGTTGTTTTCATCTGCATCTCTCAAATGACCAGTGATGTTAAACATTTTTCATATATGTATTTGCTGCTTTTACTTCTTTGTCTGAGAAATGTCTGTTTATTTCATATGCCTATTTTTGAATCAGGTCTTTGTATTGGGGGGGCTGATTATTTTCAGTTCTTTATATATTCTAGATAGTAGACCTTTGTCTGAGGAACAGCTGGCAAAAATTGTTTCCATATTGTAGGATGTCTCTTAGCTCTGCTTGTGATTTCTCTGGCAGGGCAGAAACTTTTTTAAATGATGAGATCCCAGTTGTTGATTCTTTGTGCTAGTTACCGTTTACTGGGGATTTGTTCATAACGTCTTTTCCTATGCTGGTATCTGCCAGAGTTCTGCCTAACTTACCTTCCAGCAAGTTCAGTGTTTCTCTTTTGTTTATATCTTGAATCCAGATGAATTTTAGTTTAGTGCATGGTGAAAGATACAGGTCTAGTTTTAACCTTTGATGAGTTGAAATCTAGTTTTTCCAACACCATTTATTAAAGAGGCTATTTTTCCTCCAGTGAGGATGGTTGGCTCCTTTGTCAAAGATGAGGTAGCTGAGTACATCAGGAGTCATTCTGCATCTTCTAATCTGTTCCACTGATTCTCAGGTCTATTTCTTTGCCAGTGCCATGCTGTTTTTTATCACAGTGGCTTTGTAGTATAGCTTCAAGTTGGGGATTGTGATACCCCCTGCCATGTCTCTGTTGCCTAGAATGGCTTTTGCTATTCTAGGTCTCTTCTGGTTCTAAATGAATTTTTGGATTGTTTTTTTTTCAAGTTCTGCGAAATATACTCTTGGAATTTCAGTCAGGATTGCATTGAATCTGTATAGCAATTTTGGAAATATGGCCACTTTCACTATGTTTATTCTTCCTACCCAGGAGCAAGGGATATCTTTCCATTTTCTTATATCCTCTTCTCTTTGTTCAGAGTGTTGTAGCTTTCAGTGTAGAGGTCTTTTGTCTCCTTCATTAAACTGATTCCTAGATATTTCATTTTTGGGGGGATGTTATTGTGAAAGGAAATATTTCTCTAATTTCTCTCTCAGTGAGTCTGTTATTTATGTACAAGAAGGCTATTGATTTTTGAGTGTTGACCTTGTATCCAGCTACTCTACTGAATCTGTTGATTAAGCCTAGAAATCCTTTGGTGGAGATTTTTGGGTCTTCTATGTAGAGTATCACATCATCAGCAAATAGTGACAGTTTAACTTCTTTTCCTATCTTTATTTCTTTTATTTCTTTCTCTTGTCTAATTGCTGTGGCTAATGTTTCCAGAAGTATATTGAACAGGAGTGGTGATAGTGGAATCCTTGTCTTGTTCCTCATTTTAGAATGAAGGTTTTCAGTTTTTGACCATTTAGTATGATATTTACTATGATTTAGTTTTTCAAAGCCATTACCAGGTTGAGATAAGGACCTTCTATTCCAATTTTCTGTAGGGGTTTTTAATCATGAGTAGATGCTGAATTTTTTCCAATGCTTTTTCTGCATCTATTGAGATGATCATATTGTTTTTGTCCTTGACTCTGTTAATCTAGTGTGTTAGATTTATTGATTTACATATGTTTATCCATCCTACATCCCTGGGATAAATCTGACTTGGTCAGGGTGTATGATTTTTGTGATGCTCTGTATTCTGTTTGCCAGTATCTAATAGAGGATTTTTGCATCTATGTTCATTAGGGAGATTGACCTGTAGTTCTCTTTTTTGGTTGGGTCTTTCCCTGGTTTTGGAATCAAAGTAACACTTGCTTCTAGGAATGAGTATGGAAATATTACTTCTTTCAATTTCATTGATGCGTTTAAAGAGTAGTGGTGATAGTTCTTCTCTAAATGTCTTGTAGAATTCAGAAGTGAAGCCATCAGTGCCTGGGCTTTTCTTTGTTGGTAACGTTTTAATTACATTTTGAATTTCACTGAATGTAATTGCAGTGTTTAGAATTTTTATATCTTCTTTGTTCGTATCTAGGAATCTGTCCATTTCTTCTGTGTTCTCCATTTTATTAGAGTATAGGTTTCAAAGTAGATATTGTTGAGCCTCTGGATTTTTGGTGGATCTGTTTTGACTTTACCTTTTTCATTCCTAATTGCATTAATTTGAGCCTTTTATTGCCTTTTCTGATAAGATTGGCTAAGGGTTTATCGATTTTATTTATTCTTTCAAAAAACCAACTCCGTGATTCATTGAGTTTTTGTATCATTCTCTTATTTCCACTGCATTGATTTCTGCTATTATCTTTATAATTTCCTCCCTTGTATGAGCTTTTGGTTTGTCTTCCTCTTTTTTTCTAGGAGCTTAAGGTTAAGCATTAGGGTTGTTTATTTGAGCTCGCTCTGTTTTCCTAGTAGGGGCATTTACTGATAGGAATTTCCCTCAGAACTGCTTTCACTGTGTTCCATAGACTCCTGTATGTTGTATTGGCATTTTCATTTAATTGTAGAAACTGTTTAATTTCTTATTTAATTTCCTCTGTGACCTGATGGTTGTTCGCCAGGGTGTTAATTAATTTCCATGTGTTTGTGAAGTTCTTGGGCTTTCTTATCTATTGATCTCCAGCTTAATTGCATTATGGTCTGATAATATACAGAGGATAACTTCAATTCCTTTGTATTTATGTAAGCATGTGCTGTGAGCTGGCATGTGGTCTATTTTGGAGAATGGCCTGTGTGTAGCTGAAAAGAATGTATATTCTGAGTGGGATGGAACATTCTATAGACATCTACTGAGTCCATTTGTTTTAAGACTTGGTTCAACTCATTTGTTGACTTTTTATCTAGATGATCTATTTGTGTCAGTGGAGTGTTGAGGTCCCCTGCTACAATTGTATTAGTGCTTATTTTGTTTTTCATGTCCAATAGTATTTGTTTTGTATAGTTGGGGGCATTAGTATTTGGTGCATATATATTTATGATAGTCATTTCTTCCTCTTGTATTGTTCCCTTTACAAGGACGTAGTTCCCTTATCTCTCTTAATTAATTTTGGTTTGAAACCTACTCTGTCTGCAGACAAGGTAGTTACCCCTGCTTTTTTCCAGGCTCCTGCCACATTGAGAACTGTTTTCCATCCTTTTACTCTCATTCTGTGAATTTCTTTGTGGATTAAGTGTGTTTCTAGTATATAGCATATTGTTGGATTTTGCTTCTTAATCCATTCTGCCAGCCTATTTCTTTTGATTGGTGAATTGAGGCCATTAACATTGATGGTTGTAAATGTTATGTATTGACTTTTCATTGTCATATTATTTTTCTGTTGTTGGTTCTTTTATTTTTTATTTTTCCCCCTCTCTCCCTTTAATTCCTTGCCTTGCCTGGTATATTTCCTCTGTTGTCCCTTATGGAGTTGTGGCCTTCATTTTCTTTTTGCAGGATATTGTTTAGAAGCGTTTGTAGTGCTGGTTTGGTATTCATGATCCAGAGCTTTTTATTTAGTAAGATAAGGCTGAAAGTTTGCATTTCTTATAATTTCCCTGTAGCTGTTTCTGTTGTTGCTGCTGCTGATCTTAGTACTACTCTTTGAGATCCTGGGTTAAGGAAATTCTTAGATTTCCAGAAAATAACAAATACCGAAGACTCCTTATGACCTTAAAGCAGTAATATAATTAGCAATTAATTTTATTTGTTTTCATATAATTTACTAGTATTTTTTTAGCTAGTTTGCACATCTGAAGTATTTTAAAGTAGTTGTTCAGGGTTGTATTAATATGCTTTGTCTGTGGTCTTACTACCCTGTGGCAAGCAGACATTCAGAAATTTTCCATTCAGCTCTACTTCAAAAAATCCTACTGCCAGAGACTCCTGCAATTAAGTCTCTAGTCCCCTCCTGTCCAGTTTGTGATGAAGGGTTGAAGAAAAACTTAAGACAGAGATGAAGACAAAGTGTGAGCTGGAACAGCCAATGCTCCTTTGACAAAAGGCACTGGCCCATCTCTGCCACCGAATTTTATTATTCATCAATCAGGGTAAAGGTGCAATACATGTATAGATAGATATGCAGTATGTGAAATTACCATGGAAACTAATTCAGGAAAGGCTTTAAAGAGAAGGCAAAGCATTTTCAAACTGGGAACAAAATAGACAAAATATATGGTTTTAATTGGAGGATTGTCATTCAACCTATGAAGGCACTAATTTTGGGGATGAAATTTGGATGTGATTACTCTGGCCTCAGCTACGGATGTTATCTTGTATTAACCCCACAGCTACATAGGCCATTACTCCGGTCTCAGCTATGGCCATTAGCAGGGAGGTCATGCTAACCTGCACGCTACTGCACTGCTCACGAGATACTTCTGAGTCACACAGCTTCAGTCAGACTTGCTTCTTAAAGTGAGCCAATCGGGGGATTTAACTCCTAGTAGCCTGCACTGCTTACAGCATGTTTTGGGCATAATCAATATTGTGGATTCTGGCATTCTACTTCATGTGACAGTTTCATACTTTATTGAAAAGTCATACAAACCTGGTCATTACAGAATCATTAATATAGAGTACACATAGAGAGAATCTTACAAAGCACCTGTTTATAAGTATTATATTGTGCATTATAGTTAACTGTGACATTTTAGAGCTTTCAATGATACCAACAGCCTACTGCAGCATGTGTGCCATAGGTTTGCCACTACTGGTTTAGAAGTACCAGAGGCCTTAGGGAATGGGAGATGTGGAACTTGACCAGTCTTGTAGGACAGCTACGATTTGAGATAGCATGTGGGGGTAGAAACAGGTAACGTAAGAAACTGTTCCGGAAAGGTGTAGAGTTTTTTAGGTCAAGAGAAAACTGCAAACATCAGAGGTAGTATGGCTGGATTGGAATGAGCTATGGCCTTCTTTCTGTTCTTCAGACCTAGCAAGCTTGTGTCTGACTAGAACCTTTTCATCAACTGGCTCCTCTTTCTGCAGTATGCTTCCCCAGAGTTTTGTTCATCTAGTTCCTTAGAGCTGAGGTTTCTACTCAAAAGATCTCCTTCTCAGAAAAGCTTCTGAAATAGGGTTCTCCCACATGCCAGTCCCATCAGACTTTGTTCCTTTATCCACATTCATTTTTATCACACTTAAAATCTGAATTTATGTCATGTACTCAATATCTCCCACAATAATATAAACTCTATGAAGGAAAATGAAGCTATTCTATCTCTTATTCACCACCATATCCCCAGGCAAAAGACAGAGTTTGGCATGAATACCAGGCCAGATTGGCAGGATCCCAATATTTTATTAATGACAGGTTGTATCTTTAGAAATGTCAGCCTTCTGAGGGAGCAGCACTTTCCTGAAAGGCCAGGGCTGCACATGAGGAGTGCCTGCTTGGAATTCAGACTGGCTGTTAAGTGTACTTCTTCCCCTTAGGGCTGTGTGAACTCAGTCATTCATTATGATTCTCACAGAATTATTGTGACTAATACCTGAGAAAATGCACATGAACCACTTAGCCCAGTGCCAGGCTAATCATAGTAGTATAGGATACTAGGAACTTCCATTTAATCCCAGAATTTGGGTTGATTTGGTTTATATATTGTGACCAGCAGGGGTCACTCAAATTCTGTTTCCAAGGCACTGGTGGTGTCTGATCTTGAGCTCACATATGAATTTGTTGAGGAAAAGTTCAATTTGGACAATCACAATTATTAAAATTTAAGTTTTAATATTATTAAAAGAGTTAGTTTCCCTTGTATTCTCTCCCTTAGAAAGTGAGATTATAGTTTACATTTTATAATAAAATTCATTACTAATTAGCATTTATTTAGTGATTTTCCGTTATATTTTATTTTGGCTTCACTCCAGTTACTTTTCCTTGTGTTACAAACATCTAATCCCTTTACATATTTTTCTTTATATAGTATTATCACCATCTGATGTTCTACATGATTTTTGTTTATTTGTCCCCTGTCTACATACATACATACTAGAATGTGTGCCTCAAGGATAGGGAATTTTGTTTGTTTACTACTGTACCCTAGCACCTATATAACTGCTTGACATGTCATAGGGACACTAAATAAAATGCTAGAAAAAGTTAGATTCATTTATTTAACTATTTACTATGAAGAGGGCACAATCTAGAGGAGAAACTTATACAGATAATTATGCTATATGTTAGCACATGCTACAATTATGTTTGGTAATTTTAAATGTTTTAAAAATATGGACATCTACTTCATTACTAACAAGATTTATAAATTTTCGGGGTTGGGGATTTAGCTCAGTGGTTCCAGCACCTGTCTCACAAGTGCAAGGTCCCAAGTTCAATCCCTGGTACCAAAAAAAAAAAAAAATTATAAATTTTCATGGATGTGGTATTTCTACAAGGCCCTCAAGCATAGGAGCATTTTTATAAATATAGATTAGCATGAAAGAAGTCAAAGCTAAATGAAATTACTATTTCCTCATTACCTTTTATTTTTTCTCCCCAAAGGAGCTGTATTTGATGAAAGTACTAGAAAAATACTGGTTGTACAAGATCGAAATAAAGTAAGTTGTTTCTCATAATATAATTGATTCCCAAATGTTCTCTAGAGAAAATTAAAATGTAGAAAATTGTATATGCTTAAGAAATTCTTAAAAAGTAAAAATTACGGATCATTTTTTTATTTATCTAAATTAAACATAACACATACAGGCCTTGAAGATGTCAGAGTAACACTCAGTGTTGCTCACTATAACTTCATGGCTGTGGGATACTTATGACTACTCAGGAAGACAGTTGTGTCTGTAACACATTACTAGGATACCATTCCATTCATTCCGAATTTATCAAGATGCTGCACTGTGTCAGATGCCGAGAATACAGATTAGTAAGGCAGTATCCCTGATGGCCCGTTTGGACAAGCAGTCCTAAAACAGGTGGTCAAAGTTCACTCTGCTTTAGGAAGACCTTAAAGATTTGTCAGAGAAGGTAACATTTAAAGCAGTGTAGAAAGCATAGTGTAGATGCTTCCCAGAAAAGAGAGAAAGGGGACAGAAGAGAGCTAGAGATGGGAAGACAAAGGAGGGGGAGAAGGGTGGGGACAGAAAGAAAGGAGATGGGAGGAAGGGAGGGAAGGGGAGGAGGAAGGGAATGAGCGAGAGACAGAGGGAGAAAGAAAAGAAAGGGTGGAGAGGAGAGGGGGAAAGTGAGGGGAGGCGGACAGAGAGGAGAGGAAGAAGAGACGGGAGAGAAGAAAAGGAGAGAAGAAAGAGGAAGGAAAAGAGAGGAAAAGAAGGGAGGAGGTAAGGGGGATTGAGAGAGGAGAGAGAAAAGGGAGAGAGGAGAGGGGGAAGAGAGAAAGGAGCAAGAGGGGAGAGGGTGGGAGGGTTAGGAAGTGAGGGAGAGGAAGGGAAGAGAGACAGAGGAAGAGAGGGAGAAGATACGGAGACAGACAGGTAATGGAGAAAGGAAAGGAGAGGGGAAGAGAAGAGAGAAACTGGGGAGAGAAGAGAGGGCGAGAGAGAAATGAGAACATTACATGGACTCTATAGGAGCACAGCATTCGGAAAGGGGCTGATGTTCTCAGGATGTAATACAGATGCCACTGTATGTTACTGGCATTCACAGCTTCCCTCAGCTCAGGAACCAGCAGTGAGATCAAGAAGCACTCATTTAGCAGCCTATGAAAGAAAAGGAAGAACAAAAATGTTATGGAAAAGAGATGATGAAGTGAAGGAGACAGAGTACTACTTCTTCTCAAAACCTAAGATGATTATTTTTATAGTTTTTAGATGATCCAAATAAAGACCCAAGTCTATATATAGGAAATAGATAAGGCTGTGTTAAAAATCCTTAGTTATTAATTAGTAATCCTGTATTTGTGATCCTCTTTTGGGTCTCTGAAGTAGCTGAACTTCATGAGTACTCATCATCTGGCAACTGGTTCTTTAAATGTTAAGTTTTATCCCTTCAATCGAGGTTACTTGGACTCTGAGGAGGATTAGCAAAAGGTATTAAGATACTGATTTATAACAAAAGTGCCACTTTATTAGTTCCCAGTACAGGAAAAAAAAAAGGGCTTTGCACTTTTACAAATGAAGTGGAGAAGTACTGTGAGATGTGGTAGCTGCTGCCTCCACCACGTAAAGGCACTGCTCAAGATGCTGTTGAGTGGCATGTGGTCCCAAGGTACAACTTAGCCCTAAATTGCCTTAGAGATCTACAGTCCATTCTATCCTAAACATTAATGGGAGTGTCTCTTGCTATCCGATAGATACATAGATGTCTTCCTAACACATTTAGAGTACTTGACATCTGCTTTCCTAGTCCCATCAGGAAGCCAACAGCAATAAAACAAGGTAAAGGTATCCCCTGGTATACTGTAATGTCACAGCCACCAGATTCTTACCTATCGAATGGAATGAGGTACATTCATTCACTTAATATTACTGATTTCCTTGTCCTACTATGCCCTATGCCCTGTGCTAAGTACTAGGCATGTATCAATAAACAAAGTTTCTGCACCTCAAGTTTATAGTCAAATGTATGATATAAATAAATGAACAAATAATATGTAAGGTGAAGATAAGCATTAAGAAAAAATACATAATACAGAGATAATGCTTGGGTTTGCTATATTATGCACTAATTTCTGTATGCTTAGCATGTAACAATGTATTTTGGTTCAATGAACTGACCAACCTAAGAATGGATGGCATCTTCTATGTTATTGGTAACAGTGATAATGTTGTAGTTAATGAGATTTACAAGCAGGTCTGAATTGCAGAAAGTGAGAGTAGTAACATTAAAGACTAGACAATAAAAACAAAAGATTACCCAACTTCTGGCATTTGGTCAAGCTGGAGTAAGGGAGAACAAGGTCACATAATGAAAGAGAACCAAGAGGAAGAAGGTAGCAGATCTATGCCCTTGTTCCAGGTTCTTGAGATTCAGCTGAAAGAAATTAGCAGTCTTTTAAGGGTGTTGTGTTTATAAAACATCCCGGTTAGAATTTCATAGACTATGCCAAGGGAAGGTTCTGGAGCCAACCCTCTGCTTAGGGAAGCAGAAGATGTCTGTGGAATTAGGAAAATAGTGAGAAAAGGCATCAGAAAGTGAATCATTCCCTTTCAACTATCCCAGAAACCCTAAATAACTAGAGTTTATTTTCAGGACAAATTTTAAAAGGAACTGTGCCCTATGAAGCTCCAAATTGCTTTAACAAAGAAAATATCTCACATTCTCATGGTAGCTCTGAAAAATTCATTAGAAATGTTCCCTTTTGTTGACATTGGGCCAGAAATTCCTAGCACAGGGGAATAAAGAAGTGACAAATGAGACCATTTTTATATCACCTACACTTCTGCTATCCATTTACTCCTACCCATACATAGACACAGACACCAGATTTATAATTAGCAAATATATAATAAAATTTGACATCCTGTTCACCATTCTGAAATATCATGGAACTACTCGACAACATAGTTTAAAAATCACATATTTTAGTAAGTAAGCAGGATCCTTCATCTTTCGTAGTACGTAAAATATACGCTTAAGGAATTAGAGGACCTTAACAACTCACAGGGAGGTGTTAGATATGTGACTAGGACCCAACAAAGCAATACAGCACGAAAACATTTGAGAAGAATATTCCTTTTGGAAAAGAGTGGGAAGTTATTTTTTAAGATTAAGGGGGAAAAGGATCATGGAATTTTACACTTGATGAAGAGATGTTTTGTCTTCTTTCATAGGAAAGGAGAACAGATAAAAAAAAAACATAAAGTCAAAAAGGCTAACTTTTCAAAATCTGTGCTCAGTAATTTTTTCCTCATGAAATAATGTACTGGAAAGACTAATAATAAATCTCTAAATAATAATGTTAGGTGAGGCATTCAGAGTTTAGGTAGATACAAATATTTTCAACACTAAACTATGTTTTACTCCAAATTCACAAACCCTGCAGGAATGTAAATGTAAGATACAGACTCTGATTGAATTTATGTAAAATATTGTAAAATATTCCAGTTAGGTCTGAGGAAAAGATCAAAGGGCATATGAAAAAGCATATAGCAAAAGATGAGTGACAAATACCAAAACAACTTGTTAATTACGTTTCTTAAAAAATAGAATGAGATTGCCTGGATTTTTACCTTGAGTTTATCACATACTAAGTTTTTGACTCTGAATTGTTAAGCCTTCTTATGTCCTCATGAAGTTTTATCACCTCTAAAATGGGAACATTAATAGATTCTCATGGGATTATTGTGGAGTTTATGTATAATTCTTACAAAAACATTTATCAAAATGTCTAGAATATAGTAAGCATTCAATATATATTATCTAATATTTTAATATTTTTATGTTAACCCTGCTATTGGGAGTCTTTTTTAATCTTAAAGGAGGAAGATATATTTATCTCACTATTGATCATAGGAAGAATATTAATCAGGTTTTTAAACAATATAATTTAGGCCTCTACCTGTTGCTTAGAACTCAAACTCATGCTTTTTGGGGGACAGAAGGGAGCTTTTTTAGAAATAATCTCTATAAACCTAATTGGTGTCATAAATGTCACAAACTATTTACCAGCATTAAAACATGTCTAATTTTTCCATATCAAGGGCCTAATTTATGAAACAAAAATATATGTGAGCTCTTTTAAATCCTTGTATCTGACACTGCCCCCCAATACCTTGGTATCTCCATATATAATCAACAGCCTTCATATAGGTAAGGATTTTAAAAATCTACTTTAATTGTTTTAGGAAGCATTCATCTGCTTCATTATAGTATTTTTTTTGTTTCAAATAATATTTATGGTAGTGATGCACAGTATCCTATTAGACAAAAGCCTACAGAATTTCTGCAGAAGAAAAGCTTCTGAAACCATTTCAAAATGAAACTCAAAAAAGACAGAGATTATGAAATAGATTTTGACATTAATGAAACGTATACTTTATAAATTTAATGTCAAACTTAAGCCAGACACAAAAGGGTGGAAAGCCTGAATTCTATATCCACATACTCAACAGCCTGTGGAAACTGGGAAACATGCCACTGGTCTCCAAGCTAGCATAATTAAGAAGGGACACATTCTTTAAGAAGCACTCATCCAGGAAATGCCTGGGTCCCAAAGCTCACCAGTAAAAGTCCACAGCTTCTTTTATGAATGAAGAGTATAAAATGTACTGGCTAAAGGTACAAATTTCCTTGAATATGTTATAATGTCTCAGATATTCTTGAGTTTTTTTCATGGGGATTGATAGAACTAAACTCTAAAAGAAAAAATAACTATGTCAGTCATAAAATGTTGTTATAATTATCTTTAGGCTGTTTTTACGTATATCTGTTCCAAAGACTAGATATTTCTACCTGCCCCTCCTCACCAAAAAAAAAAGATAGACAACACTTTGTCAATACTTCTATGTAGAGGCCTGTTGCCATTTTTATCTTCAGTGAAATTTTTGTTCCCAGGAAAGGCAGGATTACAATTTTTTTCTAACAGATTGAGTTGATGTAATGTGTTCTTAGTTATCACAAATACTCTTGTAGCTTTGGGATTTTGAGATGATGAATATTCATGTGTAGAAAAGCCTGACACACACTGTACAAACTCAGTTACACAAAATGGCATGTCGTGTATGTACACACAGAACCTAAAAGAACACATCCAGCTAAGCTGCTTATGATTGCGAATGACTTTGTTTTTTTCTTCTTGTGTTTTTTGTTTCCTGGCATATATTAACTTTAAAAAAATAAAAATTATTTTTAAAACTGAAAAAACACAACAAAACACAAAAGTACTCAATTTTATTCACACTACCCATGAAAAGCAATTTTTACATAAGATTATTAACATAAAATAGAAATCTTAAGGTAATATAGTATTAGAAACACAATATAATAAAAGACATGGAAATTAAGAATAGCATATTTAGTGATTAAATTTATTCCATACTTTCTACATATATATATAGCAGCATCTGTATGACTCTTATTTGTTCATAGTTAACTAGCAGCGAACTTTTTAAAGATATAAAAATGCAGTAGATATTTCCCTTCAAAATTTCTTTAGTACAAATATTATCACACTGACCAAATAAAGCCACTTCTGTTCCCTGAATAAAAGGGTTAGAAAATGTTTCATGTCAACCGCTCCCTCAGAAAAGAAGGAAGAAGGGAATAAAGAAGCTCGAAGAAATCTACATGCAATTACCAAATGGTAAAAAAAAAAAAAGGTAAATTCTCAATGACTCTGGTCAACAATTGGTGTATTTTGTGGAGTAAGTGTGTATGTGTGCATTAGTGAATAAATGTTGTATAAACTCTATTTTATGATTTTACACTGCAGTTGAAAAATATATGGAAGTTTCCAGGAGGCCTGTCAGAGCCTGGAGAAGATATTGGTAGGTATCATATATTTTCAATTAGCTGGAAAACATAAGGAAAATCCATGGTCTTACTTTATTCTTTATAGCTAAGAATAGGAATTTAAATTTTCAAATTAGTTCAGACCAAGTTAGATCAAAGAGATCACTGTGGGCTAATATACAATTATCAATAAAATATCTAACATTACAATTTGTTCCATTAGTATAAGTAATACCATTAGTAAAATAATATCTATTCTTCTCTTTGCTTCTAGATTAATCCATATGAAAGGAGCAGCTTTGGATATTCATCAGTAAAGTTAGGTTATTTTGAATATGACTAAAGTTGTAGATGGAATAGAATTATAAGAAAACACAAATTCTTGACCATTCCATCACAAAAAGGTGAATATTAAGTAAGCTTTGAAATAATACAGCCATTTATAAAAGAAAAGTGATGTTATTTTCTTCATGAACTTTTTATTCATTTATTTTTGAATAGTTAGAAAACTACAATTTAGTAATGGGTCATGCAAGAAAATTTCAAGTGAAAAACAGCCCCACAGAACAACTTACTAAGCTCAGTATTAAGACAGAAATAGTATATAAGCTAAAAATTCAATTTGTCACTGATAGACAAGAAACAGAAGAATAGAAACTGACTATATCCATCTATGCCTTAAACCACTGAATCAAATTCAATGTCATCCTAGTAATAAGTACTTCATTTAATACAAATATTATTTCTATAGAACCTTTTCTTTAATATGTATGCCCTCCCTTTTCTTTAGACAAAAACTGTATGTATAGTAATCTCCTAAACTTACTTTCATTTAAAAGTGTCTGTTCTTGAAAGTGTCATATAGATCAACAGGTTCAATCCTTATACACATTACACAAGCAACCCCTAACAATCTATGAGTACATTGGAAATATTAAGATATGTCTATGATAAGTCTTAGTTTTAGGTACTTATTGGCCTTTTGCTTAGACTCTGCTAAGTATTCTGTTGACATAAAAAGTGTATTTTGTGGAAGTCCAAATGAAAAAGGTTAATTTATCCTAATTATCTCACATTATCCATATGTGACAAGTACAGTGTATAAAATAGACAAGTTTTGCCTTCTTACCCAGTTGTTAATAAGAAAAAGCAGACTGTAGGTTTGCACAGCTTCCCCGCCTGAGCTAGGCCCTCACAAATGAATTCTTTTTTTTTTTTTCCATTGAGCTTTTATGGATCATCTGAATTTCTGATGGGCTTATACTTAGATGTTAATAAAGAGACACATTTCTAGGCCAAATATGTGTATAAGTTTAGGTTAAAGTATAATTCTGAAAAATTTAAATCTAAATAACTAAAAACACCCCTTTTTAAAAGTTGTGAGATTATCACAACCCACTTATCCAGTCTATACACACAAAGTATGATTGAAATACAAAACTTTAAAATGTATGATACAGTAAAAATTTATGATAGTATTTATGTCCTGTCCAGAGGTCACATATACAAAGTACAATTAAAATACAGTGAATTTTTAAAATGTACGATACAGTACATATTGCCATTTACTCCCCTCAAAAGACTCCTCCCTCCTTCACACACCATTCTTGCCACCTTCTGAAGCAGTTCTGTTCTCTAAGCCCTCCTTCATGAGTGCCCGCATAAGGTATGATAAAAAATACAGTGAATGCTGATGCCAAATGTCATCCAACAGAAAGGCAGACCTCCTAAAAACATTTCTGTGTGTCCCTCACCCACTGTATTCACTGGATCTGGCACTGTGCAACTTCTGGCTTTTTCACAAAGTCAAAGTGACCATGACAAGTAAATATTTTGAAGGTTCAAAATGCTGATGCAGCCCCGACAGCACAACTAAAGACACTCACAAAAGAGAACTTCCAGGACTGCTTCAGATAATGACAAGAGTGATGGAGTAAGTGTGTTCAAAATGAGTGTTTTGAGGGATTTAATAGTGATGTGTTTTCTCCTGTAATACATTTTTAAATTTTTTAAATATTCATGGTACTTTTCAGTCATAGAGCATATACCTCAGCCATATGCAATCAAGAAACAAGCATCAAATGGCATTCACTATTCTACCTAGGTATAGTATAAATTAAAGCCTTGCTTTAGAACTAATAAAAGACTGAAAGGAGCTAGAAATGAAAACTGACAGTACAGATCTGAAAGACTATGTCTACAAGTGGACATTTCTGTTTTATAACTACAAAAATACAGATATTCTTCATGATGAAGCCAAATCATCCAAAAATCAAACTATTTTCTTTAAATCATATTTTAGGGAAGAAATATGTAAGTATTTAGGAATAGTGCCAAGAAAAACAAACATTTATACTGGCTCTTAACTGGACTCAATAAGCCCCATTAAATAAACACTAATTAACTAGAAAATGTACTTGTTTAGATTTTTAGTTCTTTGATAATACTAAGAAAATGAAATATTTTCAGGTGTTTTTTTAATTAAGAGGGTCAGATACAAAACAGAACAGTCTTCAAGGCTTGAGTGCAAAGGTTATCTATGAGGTTAAAATGGACAAACTGCCTTCCTAAAAAAATTCATTACCCCAGACAAAGAAAGTGGCCAAAGGACTGTAAAGCAGCTGGGTCTGATCAGATGTCATCAGTCCAATGGAGTTACTGGGAAATATCAGAAAGACCACATTCTGTAAATTCTTCCTACTATTTTATTTCAACCTAATCTTATTATTAAATATTACAAAAATAGAAATAACAGCTATAAATTCTATTTCATTATTGTCTTGCAGTTAAACAAAAATATGACATATTTAAATACTTTTAACCAGCAAAAATTAAAATCTTCTTAGTTCTTCCTATGTTCTTACACCTATCAATGTTATTTCAGTTTAGCTTATAGTATATTAAAATAATTTCAAAGGCATAATAGAATAAATCACTTTCTCTGTAAATTCATCTTGAAATCCTTAAAGAAGAGATCCATTTAGAAGTAGAAAGGGATCTCCCATATCCCAAATACAAAAGCAGTTGTTTGCCCTTCCAGTTTTCAGTCTAGTCAGTGATGTGCTGACTCAGGTTATACTCATCAAACCTATCCAGGCAGCACTGAATTTAAGTCAACTATAATGGTGACTGTTGAGCAGGACAGACTGACTCACTAGCCCCGTCCTGAGCTTATGAAATATGAACAGCCTCGACTCATGAGCTTTATAAATGCTCAACTTTGTTGTTGCTGGTTTTGGCCTTTACAGACAAGGTCTTACTCTGTAGTCACACCTGACAATGAACTTGCAATGCAGCCTAGACAGGCCTTGAACTTGTTATCTTCTTGATTTCTGCCACCTGAGTGCTGAGCTTATAGGAATGGACCACTACATCTGTATAAATGCCCAATTTTTTATTAGTGATACTAAGAACTAAACAGGATCCCCATGATTATTTTTCAGAGCATTTAAAGAATAAAAATGCATATTTGAGCAAGAGTTATGGGCCATTATGACCAATGCCACAATCCTTAATAATAAATTTAATAACAAATATCTATTACAAATTAAAATTATCTGTCGTATTAAAACAAAGTTTATCTTAAACTGGCCTGTTGTGCTTTTAGTTTTATCACTTCTTTTCTTGGTGCTGGCAGTTGGCTCTAAGGCCGCATGCATGCCAGGCAAGCTCTCTATCACTGAACTACATGCCCTGCCCCAATGCTTTCAGTTTTAAAATATAATTTCTAGCCATGTTTAACCTATGAGCATATCTCAATTATAAGGAAAATCAGTATGTAATTGAAAAATTATAGCTAAATGTCTTATATTTTTAGGACACATTACTTTTCCTATTAATCTTTCAAGAGCTGTTTATCAGAGACAAAAACAACAGCATATACTAGGTACTAGTAAGAAAATGTATAGTCAGAGAACAAAGGACTTGAGACATTTTTTTCAGACTTCCGCTTCCTTGCCTTTTTTTTTTGTTGTTGTTGTTTTGTTTTTTGCCAGCAGGATTATTGCAAAAGCAAAAATCATTTATTCTGTGACAACAGTGAGGCATCAAAAGATACTGGAACAATAATGTACGGTGACTGTGGAGCTTCCCAGAAAAGTTATCAAAGAAGGCAGTGTTTTGCATCATGCTTTGAGAGATGGTAACAGAACATCACAAAATTAAAAAAAATTCATTTTAGTCTTTCTGGATGTTTATAGAAAAAGCAGACAAAAAAATATATGTATATTTTTTGGTACCGGGGATCGAACTCGGATCCTTGCGCTTGCGAGGCAGGCCACCAAACTGCTGAGCTAAATCCCCGCCCCCCCCCAACAATATATTAATGGTAATTAAAAAATCCTGCCATAAATTTGCACTTAATTGAGAAATCAACCTTATAACTGTGAAAACTATTATTGTATTTAAAAATTCTGTATATTCCTAGCTTTTTGAAAACTCATGTAGCAACTATTACATTTTTGTGCTGAAGGAATAAATTCAAGTTCTTTGGAAACTTATCTCAAGAAACAAAGGCAATGTTAAAAACTACTACTGTAGGATATCACTGAAAACATAACTAGAGGAGCATAACTAAATGGTTATAAAGGAATCTGGTAGATGACCTCAGGTTTGACATGTAATCTGACATCACCAAAACAGGTTACAATCATTTCAATACATTTTGCAGTTC